TGATTCTGTGATTCTGTGATTCTTTCCCTGCTCGTGGCACGGGTGGGGGTCACCAGGGTGTGATCACGGAACGATTTGAGTCGGGAGGGACCCGGAAGGATCCCCCTTCCGCCGGGGCCGGGTCACTCCAAGGCGCCTTCCCACAGGTCCTGATCTGGAACCTGGACATTGGGGAGCCGGTGAAGATGATCGACTGCCACACGGACGTGATCCTGTGCATGTCCTTCAACACGGACGGCAGCCTCCTGGCCACCACCTGCAAGGACAAGAAGCTGCGCGTGGTGGAGCCGCGCTCCGGGCGGGTCCTGCAGGTGCCACGGGACCAGGGCTTGGGAATAAGATCTTGGGGAGGAATCCTGTTGAATTGTCCCAAAACATCCACGAGGTGCTGCACGTGCTCGTGGTGAGGCAGGGGCACAGGGCAGGGGCTGCAGGCCATTCTCTGCCTGGGGAGGGTTCTTTCATCAGGTGGAGGTGATGGGGAGGGCTCGGCCTCATCCCAAACCTCATCCCCCCGCCAGGTTGGAGGGTTTTATTCCTCTGTTAATTAAGGATTTGTGGAAAATAGTGGAAATTAAAGAGGGAGGTGCAGAGGTCACAGTTTGGAGGCAGGTGGTGGGTTCTCAGTAAAGGTGGTCTCTGATATTCATGGAAATGGGTGGTTTTGGCTTGCACAGGGGACAGGTCCGGAGTCACAGCGTCCCCACACTGCTGGGGACAGAGCTGGCATGTCACAGGGATGAGGTGGGAGAGGAGAGGGGGCAAGGAAGGGGCTTTCCTGGGGTGTCAGTGGTGCTGACAGAGCTCCCCCTGCCCCGCAGGAGGCCAGCTGCAAGAACCACCGTGTCAACAGGGTGGTGTTCCTGGGCAGCACCAAGAGGCTGCTCACCACGGGCGTGTCCCGCTGGAACACGCGGCAGATCGCCCTGTGGGACCAGGTGGGTGCTGGGACCCCTCCATCCCTGCTGGGACCCCCTCCATCCCTGCTGGGACCCCCTCCATCCCTGCTGGGACCTCCATTCCATCTCTGCTGGGACCCCCATTCCAGCCCTGCTGGGACTCCTGTTCCATCCCTCCTGGGATCCCCATTCCAGCCCTGCTGGGACTCCCATTCCATCCCTGCTGGACCCTGCTCAGCACCAGCACTGGGCCGTCCCAGTGGCTCAGGCCCTGTCCCTGTTTTTCAGGAAGACCTGTCCATGCCCCTGATCGAGGAGGAGATCGATGGGCTCTCGGGGCTCCTCTTCCCGTTCTACGACGCCGACACCCACATGCTGTACCTGGCTGGGAAGGTATGGGGTGTGTGGAGCATCTCCCTGGGCATTCCCAGCCCATGTCCCCCTGGCACTGCCCGGGGATGTGGTGCTGGGGGTTGTCATCAGAGAATGGGTTGGGTTGGAAGGGACCTTAAACATCGTCCAGGTCCTGGATGGGCAGGGACACCTCCCACTATCCCAGGTTGTTCTAACCTGGTCTTGGACACTTCCAGGGATGGGGCAGCCACAGCTTCTCCAGGCACCCTGTGCCAGGGCCTCCCCACCCTCACAGGGAGGAATTTCTTCCCAAAATCCCACCTATCGCTGCCCTCTAACTGGTCTTTATGATGGTCCTTATTCCCCCTCACATTTCCCAGAGGAATAACCTGTCCCTGTTCCCGTTGCTGCTCCAGGGCGACGGCAACATCCGCTACTACGAGATCGGCTCCGAGAAGCCCTACCTGAGTTACCTCATGGAATTCCGCTCCCCCGCCCCGCAGAAAGGACTGGGTAAGGATCCCGGGCTGCTGCTGCTCTGCTGGGAGCAGGGAAGAGCTGGATCATGGAAGGTGCTTCATGAAATGTCACAGGCAAATGGGTTTGGCTCGGGTTTGGTTTGGGTTCGGGATGGGTCTGGGATGGGTCTGGGATGGGTCAGGGATGGATCTGGGATGGGTCTGGGATGGGTCTGGGATGGGTTTGGCGGGTGCTGTTCCAGCTCCAGAGCATCGGCTGCAGCTCTTGCAGGGTGACATTCCCATCCCTGTGCTGCCCTTCCCAGGGTGATTCAGCCCTGCTGGGGTTGGTGCACGTCCAGGGACACCCTTCCCGCTGTCACACGTGGCTTCAGCAGGGGACATCAGTGATTGTCCCAAATAAAGGCTGCTCATCCCTTTCCCAGCATCCCTGCAAACTTGGTGTGGCCCAGCTTGTGCTCCAGGTTCCTGGGGCGATGCCAAGGGTTGATCCAGGGCAAGGGTTGCTCCTGGGTGTGCTGGTGGGGCTGTTCTGGGTGTCTGTGCCGGGCTGACAGACGGTGCTGCTCCGCAGGGGTGATGCCGAAGCACGGCCTGGACGTGTCGGCCTGTGAGGTCTTTCGGTTCTACAAACTCATCACCCTCAAGGGGCTCATCGAGCCCATCTCCATGATCGTGCCCAGGAGGGTGAGTCCACGGGGGGGTCTGGGAAGGGCCCAGAGGGATGGACATGCCCCACTTTGCCCAGTCCTGTGGTTGGGTCTCTTCGCACCAGGCTCAGACCTCTCCATTGCTGCACATCCCAGGGATTCCCAGGGGGGGTTTGCCTCAGGTTTAATGGGAATGTTTTTTTGGAAATGCATCTCCACGTTTCTCCTGGTGTATGTGTTGTACAAAATCAGCTTGGTCTGCAGTGCTGGGGAACAAGGGGCTTGTCTCACCTGAGGTTTGGGGGTGTTTTGGGAAAACAGATCTCGGATCAGGGTTTGGTGTCGGGAAGCAAACCCGGGGCTGTGTGGAGGGCCTGTCCCAGGTTCTGAGGCAGCTCAGCAGCTGCTCATTCTCCTCCCTCCCCTCCCAGTGCCAGCCAGCACTTCCCAAATCTGCTCCCTGTGCCCCAAGTCTCCCACCCGGGAGGTCACCCCCCAGTTCCTCCCCTCCCCACGGGTCTCTCCATTGCCCATGGGGTGGGTTCATGGCAGTGGCAGCTCTTTCCCTGTGTTTCCAGTCCGAGACGTACCAGGAGGACATTTACCCCATGACACCGGGCACGGAGCCTGCCCTGACCCCGGATGAGTGGCTGAGTGGGATGAACAGAGGTAACACTACTGGTGGCACTGGTGGCACTGGTGGCACGGCAGGTGGGTGCTGGCCGGGCAGCCCTCCCTGAGCCCGTCCCCCCTCTGCCCCCTCAGATCCCATCCTGATGTCGCTGAAGGAGGGCTACAAGAGGACATCCAAAATTGTGTTCAAGGCCCCGGCGAGGGAGAAGAAGAGCGTGGTGGTCAATGGCATCGACCTGCTGGAGAACGTCCCACCCCGCACCGAGAACGAGGTGGGACAGCCCAGTCGGGTGGGACACGGGGAGGGGGGACAGGCTGGATGGGGGGGGACATCATTGGGATGAACCTGGAAAGCCACCCCTCTGCAGGTCTCTGTGTTCCCAGACTGAGGCACTGGGTGTTCCCCTGCCCCTTGGAGCATCCACCTCAACCCTGGAGCACCCAAAGGAGCGGAGTGAAGCTCCTCAGTTGGTTTTGGGTTTAATTAAAAGCCTTGTCTGGAAACAACATATGGATGGGGATACATCACCACTTGGTCCTGGAAGGAATTTGGTTTAGAGTCATGGAAATCCTGGAAAAGCTTAGGTTGAAAGGGACCTTAAAGCCCATCCAGTCCCACCCCCTGCCCTGGGCAGGGACACCTTCCACTAGCCCAGGTTGTTCCAAGCCCCATCCAACCTGGCCTTGGACACTTCCAGGGATCCAGGGGCAGCCACAGCTTCTCTGGGCAACCTGTGCCAGGGCCTCCCCACCCTCATGATAAAAAATTTCTTCCCAGTATCCCATCTAAACCTCCCATCCTTCAGTTTAAATCCATCCCATTTTCCCATCACCACAGATCCTGCTAAAAAGCTTGTCCCCAAAATCAGCCGAATCGGGGCCCAGTCCCAGCACAGCCCCGGGGCTGGGAGGAGGGCAGAGTGGATGCTGTGGTCCCTCCAGCTCCATCCCTCCCTCTCCCTCCTTCCCCTGCAGCTCCTCCGGGTGTTCTTCCGGCAGCAGGACGAGATCCGGCGGCTGAAGGACGAGCTGTCTCAGAAGGACATTCGGATCCGGCAGCTCCAGCTGGAACTAAAGAACTTACGGAACAGCCCGAAGAACAATTAACTCCCAGGGACGTTTTCTAAATAAACTCTCGTTGTTTCTACTCGCTCTTTAATTTTATTGTCCCCACTGACCCAGCCGGGAGCCAGGACCCCGCCGAGATCCCGCGCCGATGGATCCGCGTGTGCCCGGCCCTGATCCCGCTCTAACCGCTGCCTCCGAGGGGCCGGGGGCTCCCCGTGAGTAGGAGCCCTGTGCCCCCCCCTCGGGACGATCCGGATTCCCGGGAAAGCTGACGCTTCCTTGCTATTAATTTCTTTTTCCTATGCAAAAAAAATGTGACGGCGGGGGCAGAACTGGAAGGGGTGGGAAGGGCTGGATCATCAAAGCTGGGGGTGTGGGGGGAGACTGGGAGCATTCCCATGGTGGGAAACTGGGAGCCTTGCCATGGTGGGAGCCCAGGATCCATCCCACGGTGGGAGCCTGTGATTCTTCCCATGGCAGAAGCCCGAGATCTGTCTGATGGTGGGAGCCCGGGATCCATCCCACATCCCACAGTGGGAGCCCAGGGCCCTTTCCCATGGTGGGAGCTCAGGACTCTTCCCATGGCGAGAGCCTGTGATCCTTCCCATGGTGGGAATCCAGGATCCATCCCACAGTGGGAGCCAGGGACTCTTTCCCATGGTGGGAGCACAGGGTCCTTCCAACTGTGGGATCCCGGGACTCTTCCCACAGTGGGATCCCGGGATCCCTCCCATGGTGCCAGTGGCCATGGCATGGCCGGGCAGGCTCTGGCACAGCCAGGACTTGGCAGGAGCAGCCTGTGAGTGTCCCAGGGCTGCAGCCCGGGAAGGGAGCAGCTCCACATGCCCCAATATCCTTCAAAATAACAAAAAGCCAGGCTGGGGTTCCTACCTGGGGAGGGACTTTTGCTCCTTCCCCCTCTGCCAAGAGGGATTTTCCCTCCTCCTGTCTGCTGGGACACTGCCAGGGCCACGGGGAGGGGGAAGGATGTCCCTGGGATGATCCTGGGAAGGATGTCATGGTGCTGCCCCAGGGATGGACCCAAGGGATGGATCCTGTGGGATGGATCCCAAGGATGGACCCTGTGGGATGGACCCAAGGGATGGATCCTGTGGAATGGACCCTGTGGGATGGACCCAAGGGATGGATCCTGTGGAATGGATCCTGTGGGATGGATCCCAAGGGATGGACCCTGTGGGATGGATCCCAAGGCTGGACGCTGTGGGATGGATCCCAAGGGGTGGTCCCTGTGGGATGGACCCCGTGGGTGTCAGTGGGTTCAGCACGTTGTACAATCCCAGGTTGGATGGATTTGACCTGTAGCACAGGGAAGGACACCAAACACTGCTGGATTTCCTTATACATCCCTATTTTCCCTGGCTCCAAGCTGCTGAGCTGCCTGGCACCCCCGGGCAGGGCTGTCCCCGTGGCCCCGGCGTGTCCCGCTGACCCC